TTTTCTTTTTGTCTGACAACTCAAATGTACGTGGAAGTGGCTGACTTTAGTGGGTTAACGGGCTTGAGTTACAGATCCATTATACCATGACTTGAGTAGGTCAATAGGCTTGAAACATCCAAAAATGGTCCATAATTCTTGATAAGAAGATATATTATTGATTATGAAACATTTGCAATACATACATAATACAACCTGCAAGGATTGAAATAATATATTCCAATCCCATTATTTTAGTACGTACTACTACCTAACTGAGGGACGTAGCATAGCGATTGAATTCTGAGACATCATCTCAATGGAATTTCCTATTTCAGTGTGATTGCCGCTCTGCTTTGTTCGAGCCAGTTCGGTTGCCAAACACTCCTTTAGTTCCACTAATACCTGGCTCATGGATGGCCTGTTGATGGGGTGTTTAGATACACATGCCATTGCTAATTCCACAGCTTTCCAGACAGAGCTAACATTGAAACTTCTCTCTAACCTTGGATCAACAATGCTGTAAATGTCTCGTTTTGGAAGCAACAAACCAACCATTTACTTATGTGAATTCTCTCATGTGCGTTTATAAAAGCAGGTCGACCCGCGATAATCTCCAACAGTACAACCCCAAAGCTGTAAACATCACTTTTCTCATTTAGCCTGTTTGACATATTGTACCTTCAAGCAACCATGCAACTCAAGTCATATCTTCTGCAAAAGAATTTGGCTAGAACGTCCATTTACATATGGTTTCTTTCTTCCTTCGTGTCCTTGCTTTATCTTTAATTTGCTTAAGTGACATTACTAATATTTTGAATATTAAGGATGATGGGTGTATAAAACAGTAGCACTAGAGGGCACCAATACCAAATTAATATTAGTTAGAATTTAAAATGCGTTGGGATTAGATTTGATATATCATTACCCAGACTGAAAACAAAAAACTTACTCGGGCGCAAGGTACCCGGGAGTGCCAGCAACACCTGTCAATATATGAGTCCCATCCTCTACAGGGAAATTTCTGGATAGGCCAAAATCAGATAGTTTGGCTTGAAAATATTGATTCAACAAGATGTTTGTTGATTTCACATCCCTGTGGATCATAGGTGGGCTACAACAATAGTGCAGATACTCCAATCCTGCATTTCCATATTCAGACATCAGTGAATTCTCATCACCAAAAAAAAAAAAAAAAAAAAAAAAAAAAAAAAAAAAAAAAAAAAAAAAAAAAAAAAAAAAAAAAAAAAAAAAAAAAAAAAAAAAAAAAAAAAAAAAAAAAAAAAAAAAAAAAAAAAAAAAAAAAATCAAAAGAAAAAAAAGAGAGAGGAGATGTTAGCTAAAAAGGAGTATAAGATAATTTATTAGTTTCAACCTTGTGCAGCATCTGTAGCTATTTGAAGTCTACCTTCCCAAGTCAAGACAACTGGA